CTTTTTAAAAGTTATTTCTCAGTATTTTTGGTAGGGGAGTATTGATTTCCTGTAATCTGTTCTGGAGTTTGCTATGTTATGCATAGCCTCTGAACCCACAAGCTGAACTTATCTTACCACTGTGGCCTCCTTGGTATTTGATACCCTGTGGTTCTGCAGTCCTAAACAGTTCGTATAACCAGGTTAATCAGCTTGGCTGCTGCGCTGTATTTGGCTTTGTGGGCCGTAAGTTGTGCCAATCTACTGTTCTCTTCTGAATCCTTGCGAATTGATCCTAAAAATAATTTTCTGATAATTTTTCAGCTCTTAGTAATGTGTGGAAGATCAGAATCCACCTCCCATGCTGTTTGTTCCTAACCTCTTTTATTAGTTCCACCCCATTGATTGCTTAATTTAGTGTTGGAAGCAATTTGAATTGCATTTTCCTCTGCCAACAGGCATGTGTCAATTTCTACCTACTGCCCAAGCTTTTATCTTGATCAGGGTTTGGGACAGGACTATGGGAACGGTCTCTTGGCTGCCAAGGGGCTCAGAGCGTCAAGTTGCCCATCTCCTCAAGACTGAGACAGTTTCTGCTTCTCTTTCTTCTCTTGCTTGTCCGTGCAAGAAAGAGAGTTGCGTAAATGGCCTTGCGTGGGAAGGGAGTAAACACGGGGAAAGATGCCCATCCCAACCAGAAAAACAAGTTTGTTCCCCGCCTGCTCTTGAATTGTAACTGGCCTGTTATTTCTCAGCTAAACTTTCCTTGGAAGGAACAAAGTACAGAGTACATAAACTCCAGTGCAGATTTGCAGAAAGAGTCTCTTTCCTTAGGGGTCTAGCACGTTTGTTTCTGCTCAGTCCACACCTACTGAATGTGAATAACTTATTTTTTGACAGTGCTCCAACTGGCGTAGTACTTAAACAAAGGAAACAAAAATAAATCTGTTGTACCAGTTGAAAACGATATGTGTCTCTCTTACAGCAGAGGCACACCAGCTAACTTGCAAGGTTTATATGCAAATCAATGCAAACTTTGCAGAGTGGGGAAGGCAGTAAGTTCGAATGAAGGGATCAGGAACTCAAGGCCTCAGGGTCAAATTTAGCTCTCATGAGGTCCCAATCTAGCCTTCTTGGTTTGCAAGCCAGCCATTTCTCCTTTCTCTTGACAACAATATTTAGTGTTTTTTCAGCATTTTAATGAGTCGCCTTCTCTTATTCTAAAAGGCTGACATGTATCTCCTAAGGCTTAGTTACGGTTAATAAGAGTTTTAAGCTAAAGTATACTGTATTTCTGCTCACACTTTTGCCCATGGCCGCATCCATCACAGGAAGGCAGCTCCTAAGAATGTCTCTGAGAATGAATATGGTCCTAAGGCATGTCACGCTCATGTGCGCGTGGGTGGGTGTCGCGCTCGGAGGGGCCGTTTTGTGCTTGTGCGTATGCACGTGGGGTGTGTTGCGCATGCACGCGCTCTCACATGCATGGGGTGCGCTCACGGGGGGAGCTCTCGCAGGGGGGCAGGAGATCTGTGTCCACGGCCAGGTCCTGCCCAGGCCATGGACTGCTGCTGGGTCACAGACTGGGCGTTGGGGACCTCTGTACTACACCACACTGCGTTGGCATTAGTGGAAGCTTAAAAAAATTCCCAAGGTACTGTTGTAGTGGGAGGAAACAGGAGAAAATCTGTAATCACTGATCAAAAAAGGATTTTGTGGTTTGGACAAAGACATATATCTGTGGAGGAGCAGTAGGGATTAATAGAAAGCAAGGGCTGATTTATGGGTAATCTTGTTTTGTATTTTATTTCTACATGGAATGTCAGTTTTCAGGGCAGTTCCAACTGTATGCTTTGAATCAAAGGTCATGACAACACCTTAACACTGAATGAGCAAATCTTAAATAGAATCTGTCCACACCATCTAAATGTCAATTTTTCAAAAACCAACCTGTTTCAGGGCCTCTGCTGTGGAGCCACAGTTCTTACAAAGGGGAGCCTCTGGCTAACCCCTTTCCTTCCTCCCCCTCCTCCTCCTCTGCCTGGAGGGGGGGGTCCCCGCCTGCCCAATCGCCCCCTTTCCACACCCTTTTCCAGCCCAGTTGCAACTGAGCCACAGTGGATGAATTTTTAGGGGGTAAAAGGTAAAAAAGTTCCCTGACCCCTGATCTAAATGTCAAATTTTCAAAAAAACCAACCTGTTTCAGGGCCTCTGCTGTGGAGCCACAGTTCTTACAAAGGGGAGCCTCTGAGCTGCTGGAGCGAATTGATGCAGTGCAGGAAATCAATAGGGAAATTATTGAAATGGGACATCACAGAAACATAACATGGAATTTCCAGTAGAAACCAATACTTCTGTGTTATATTTGATTTGGAAAATCTGGGGGAGGGGTTCATTGAGGCGCTAATCCTACACGTGGACATGAATGCTGGTGGATTATATTTCCAAAGATGGGGGAGGCACAGGAAGTATGAGGTTTTCTGAAAGAATTGGAAAAGTTCCTGTCAGTTCTTACAAAGGGGAGCCTCTGAGCTGCTGGAGCGAATTGATGCAGTGCAGGAAATCAATAGGGAAATTATTGAAATGGGACATCACAGAAACATAAGAACATGGAATTTCCAATAGAAACCAATACTTCTGTGTTATATTTGATGTGGAAAATCTGGGGGAGGGTTTCATTGAGGCACTAATCCTACACGTGGACATGAATGCTGGTGGATTATATTTCCAAAAATGGGGGAGGCACAGGAAGTATGAGGTTTTCTGAAAGAATTGGAAAAGTTCCTGTCTGGCTTGGAAATGTTTGGATGGATTCCAAGCTCTGGGCTTTAGTTTTGTGCTAGATTCCCAAAGCCAAGAAAAAAAAAATAAAGCTTCTTGATTCAAACCAGCATAGGAAATATTCATTGGTTTGGCCGTGCCTGTTTTCTCTGTGTCTCATGGTTATGCAGCGTGGGAGATGAAGTGAATTTCGACGTGCCATTTGACTGTTTAAGGACACACAGATGTTTTCCCACAAAAATGCAACTAGAAAGGCCACATACTACAGAGAGAGAGAGAGAGTTTGAGAGTTTGTTAATAAATACTTAATGGTTAGAAAAATGCTAGTCTTCTGTGCCTCTTAGAGCTGTATTTTAACTGTGCACATTACTCAGGATCATATATAATCTGCTTGTCTTGTCCTTTTCATTTTAATTTTGCTGGTCAAAGGGAAGGGTGGGCAAGACACTGAAACCTGTCTGCTAGAAATCATGTTCTCCCACTGGCTTCTGAGATTTTGTCAAGCACGTCACAGATTTGAATGTGGCAAGCATGGTGTGGGCCAGTGCGATATGAGGGACAGAATGTTGGAATTGTTCTCTACTGGGCTTGGGAAATTCACCTCAGGGGTGGGTGGGTGGCAATGGCAAGCAACTCTTTGAACATCTCACATACTTGTCCAGGGTTGCTGTAAATCAGAAATGCCTTGATGGCACCTAATGATGATAACATAGTTTTATTTTCAATACATTATTTCGTTTTGCCCAGTATGGAATTTGTCTTTTTCATAGCTTTTATACATTGGGAGGCATTTTCATCAAGCTGTGTATTTCATGATTACACAATATCAAATCAGAAATGCCTTGATGGCACATAATGATGATAACATAGTACTGTATTAGTTTTATTTTCAATACATTATTTCGTTTTGCCCAGTATGGAATTTGTCTTTTTCATAGCTTTTATACATTGGGAGACATTTTCATCAAGCTGTGTATTTCATGATTACACAATATCAAATATCATCAGTGGGTTTGTCAAGCTGAGTTTGGTGTTGATTGTTGTTGGGTTGTGGGTTTTTTGTGTCTATGCACAGCATTTCATGTTTAGTTATGTTAAACAACACCTGCCATTTTCATACATTGCCCCTTAGTCTGGATCTTAGCTATTTTAAGCTCAAATTCTTGAATAAAGTAGGAGGTTAGTTATTCTATGATTCTATGACTAAGAATTTGAGTTAAAAACAAAACGTGAGCCTTTCAGGGTGTTGATTTTGTTTGTTTCTTTGAAGAGCATCTTCAGTATATGCCCAGTCCTGATTATATATATTGATTGTTGGAAAACGTCTTGGCCAGAGTCCCATTTTTCCTTAATTTGTGTGTAAAACAAATGTGAAAATCATGGCAGTTAATTGAAGCTCTTTAATAGGGGGTCTGTTGCATGCACAGGCTAGGCAATCAGTACCTTAGTAGTTAGTTAGCTTTAGTTAGCCATTGCAGTTTCCATGTTTTTACGTGCATGTAAACCAGCAGGATTCTGGCCTTTGTCTTCTGTAAAAGCATAGATATTAAACTCTGCAGTACAAGATAAGTCCATAATAAGATGTTCAGGCTACAATTTATTTCCTTTAAGGAGGAAGAGGAGAATCTTTAATTCTTCAGATTTTTGAATCTTTAATGTTCCACCAATTTCATCCAGCATGATTAATATTAAGGAATTAACAGAAGTTATAATCTGAACAGGGACGTGGTGGCACTGTGGGTTAAACAGCAGAAGTCTCTGTGCTGCAAGGTCAGAAGACCTGCAGTTGTAAGATCGAATCCACGTGACGGAGTGAGCCCCTGTCGCTTGTCCCAGCTCCCGCCAACCTAGTGGTTTGTAAGCATGCAAAATGCGAGTAGATAAATAGGTATCACCACGGTGGGAAGATAACGGTGTTCCGTGTCTAGTCGCGCTGGCCATGTGACCACAGAAGATTGTCTTTGGACAAACGCTAGCTCTATGGGTTGGAAACGGAGATGAGCACTGCCCCCTAAAGTCAGACACGACTGGACAAAATTGTCAAGGGGAAGCTTTACCTATAATCTGGATATCTGGAGGGCCAAAGATTCTCTTTATCTCTCCCTTAGTGAAATTGTTACAGGATGTGCCATTCTCTCAGCCATCTAGATTAAAACAGTGTTCTTTTGGGAGACAGTTTTGGCTTTGGATTGTCACTGGCATTTAAACTTTACTGACATTTCCCCCCTCATCTCTCCCAGTTTGCACAGGAACGGACATGAAGCTGCAACATCCCTCCAGTCCAGAAAACCACCATGCCACCCTCCTTCGCCTCTATCAACACTGTCAAGTTGTGCAAGGCAACCTGGAGATAACCCATCTGCCAGCATATGCAGACACCTCGTTCCTCAAGGTGGGCATGGTGGGGGAAACAGATGAGTATTAGTGGGAGAGGGAAAACAGGGACATTTCTGGCTGAATGTAACCAGATTGGCTGTCCCTTCCTTTCTTCAGTTGGAGTTGCAAGAGGGAAAGTTGATGGATGAGGCTTGGAGAAGTATATCACACCAGGAGTTGAGGAGTCAGGTCATATTATAGCTGCTCCATATATAGCTGTTCTCTCAGTGGAATTCTCAAAGGAGGCAGTGTTGTTATCCAAGACCACCATCCATTTCTTAAATAAAACCCCACACTAATTTAGGATAGTAAGTAAGGATTATACCTGGAAGTGAACGGTGTTTTATTGACAGGAATTCAGAATTTGGAATGTTCCTCTTTTGATCTCTAGCTTTTAGAAGAGTGGCTCTCAACCTTGGGTAACCCAGGTGTTCTTGGACTGCAATTCCCAGAAGCCTTCCTCACCAGCTGTGCTGACCAGGTTTTCTGGAAGTGGCAGTTCAAAAACACCTGGGTTACCCAAGGTTGGGAACCAATGCTCTAGATCACTGGTTCCTAACCTTGGGTTACTCAGGTGTTTTTGAACTGCAACTCCCAGAAGCCTTCACCACCAGCTGTGCTGGCTGGGGTTTCTGGGAGTTGCAGTTCAAAAACATCTGAGTAACAAAGGTTGGGAACCAATGCGCTAGATTAAATTCAAAACCTTTTCCACAATTTGGTGATAACCCTGAGCCACAGTGGATAGCTGTTGAAGTTGGACCTGGGAAATTTGCATTTGTATTGCTTATCCACTGAGTAGCTATGGGCAGGCCACTCATCTTTCAGATTGGTTTCTATGTATACAATGGAAAAGAGTAGTGGTCTGACCTATAGGAGTGTTCCAAGATAAAAGGTTTAGACTCCCACCACCACACCTTTTCTTTTGCTTACTTGAAAACAAAATAGCATAGTAACAGGAGCAGAGACTTGTGACATTTTTAGAAATATGTTGTGGGGAATGTGGCTTTGCCTGCTTGCAGGAGCCTTCTGGAGATATTTGCTCTGTATGATGCACGTTTTTGCTGTTGGGTTTATTTAAGATTCAACCGTAAGATTAAAAAAAAAAGCAGCATAGTGTATGTGTACAAATTTGACCAAAGAAGAGAAGGGGACGACAGAAGACGAGATGGATGGACAGTGTCATTGAAGTGACCAACATGAATTTGACCCATCTCCGGGAGGCAGTGGAAGACAGGAGGGCCTGGCGTGCTCTGGTCCATGGGGTCGCAAAGAGTTGGACACAACAACTGAACAACAACAGCAACAACAATACTATAGGCTCTTCACACCAACTGTGCATTGGGCATTACCTTTCAAAGATGTTTTGGGGGCCATCTTTTCCTGTACTGACCATTCCCCTGTTGACCTCAGTATCCGAGACCTTTCTTCAAGTGTCTTTATACAGTACTCAGAATGGGAATGGATGGTTGGCTGGAGGCCCTCAATTTGGCAGTGCTTTGAAATTTCCTCCTCAAGTGGTCCCTGGCCTGTTGTCCTTATTGCCATTACTTTGTCAGCAAGTGAAAAGCATTTATGTTTACCTAGGCTTCTAATAACTGCTATTTTTTTTGTCTTTAAGTTCAAGTAGCATTGATTTGCACTGTGCGTTGATAAAACTGTTGTTTTAGTTTGTTATCTTTAGTTCAGAGCTGGCTGGATATCTTAGTTCACTTCCCCACTGGGCCTCCTGGGAGAAGAGCCAGCCTGTGTAGCCTTGGGCAAGCTGCACAGTCCTAGGCTGCCTCCAGAAGAAGGGAGTGGTAAACCACTTCTGAGTACCCTCTGCCTAGAAAACCTTGAAAAAAGGTCACCATGAGTCACAATTGACTTAACGGCACATGATTATTATTTATGTTTAGTTCGTGCAAGTTATGTATTTTGTTTTTTTTTTAAAAAAAACATGCTAAGAAGCAACTAGGTCTAGTAGTAGCAGCCTCCAAATATATAGAACCAGTGAGAATGTCAGGGCTATACAGTAGGTATTTCTGAGGAACTAATAATATGTTGACTGAAGTATGCAAAAGTGAGTTTTCCCCCCTCCAGCACGAGCATAACCTAAGTGGCATTCTTGCAGTGTGTTTATAGTATGTTCTGATGTTGCTTGCGCAGATACAGATAATCCCATTTTTATCCAAGAATCCATCTAGATTAGGAACATTAAGATGTTGTTGGATTTCAATTCCTATCAGCCCCAGCCAATATGACCAGCCAACATGATGGGAGCTGCAGTCCCAAAGCACCTGGTGAGGTGATAGGTTCTTCATCCACTCCAGTCTGGAAGGTCTCCAGGTTTGTGAACCCAGCACTCCTTGCTCTTTCTCCTCATGGGTACATGTTCTTTTCTTCTTTTTCTCAACAGGACATCAGAGAGGTCCAGGGGTATGTCCTGATTGCTAAGAACCATGTACGCCACCTGGAACTCAATAGCCTCCTGATCATTCGTGGGACTCAGCTGTATGAGGAAAAGTATGCATTGGCTGTCCTAGACAATATTGACCCCGAAGGGAATGAGGGGCTGCAGGAGCTGGGCATGTTGAAACTGACAGGTATGGAAAAGGGGAACTAGGCAGCTTTTCACAAATGAAATACTGTAATGGGTATTGATGAGGCTTAGCTGGCAGCTGCAGAGTCAGGGTTAAGGCACTTGTACTTGGGTCCTATGAAAATCAGTGGGACGTAAGTTAAGTCACAATATTTTGTTCCAAATGCACTGCCAGATTTGGTTGCCCTTATCTACAAGTCAGCAAAAGGTGAAGGGAAGTAGTGTCTGTAGGTAAAGAAGGGGATGATAAGAGAACATTGACTTGCTAGAATCTTGTCTTAATATTTGAATACTCTCACTCTCTCTTTCTCCCCATCCCTCCCTCCCTTTCATTCACACATCTGCATATGCTTTCTCTGTTTGATGCACACTTTCTCTCTTAGTGGACTGCACAGGCCACTTTCTTTAAAAAAAAATCTTTTTTGTTTCCAGAAATCTTGAAAGGTGGAGTGATTATAAACAGAAACCCACAGCTGTGCTTCCAGGAGACCATCAACTGGCGAGCCATCTTCCACAAACACAATGGGCACAACAACACAGAGATCAGCATATACCGCCAAAGGACATGTAAGCATCATTATTTGCTTTTGGGGCTGCCTAGAAATGTGGAGTGCTAAAAGCAACAGTGCTCCTGGCAACTCAGCCTCATAAATCTAGCATTTATTTCAGTTCTAAATTTATGAGGCTAGATTACCGGGACACACTGTGATTAGTAAAGTTTCTTATCTTATTGTCTCCTGGGTAAAATGGGCTTTTCTGTTTTAAAATCAAAGCCGCAGGCGGTGACAACCAAAACAAAAATTCTGTTGCCAAGACAAGTTGAGTTCTGCAATCTGTACAAATTGCACAGATTATATATGTTATGCAAATCAGCATAGATTCTGTTTTTTCTAGCCATGGAAAGTGCAATCACTCATTGCTTTAAAAAAAAAACAAACGTCCTATCTTCTGGACATAAAGTAAGTCTTTCCTCCCTGAAAATGATGCAGAATGGCCACTCGTACCCATAGAAGGCCAATTTGGCCAGTTAGTTGCAAGGACACCGGGTGTGGGACAAGCCATCAGAGGGGATCTTGTGGTTTCTAAGGTCCAAAGGATCTGCCCCTTTTTTCCCTCATGTGCCATAAGTCAATTCTGGTGACTCTTGTCAGGGTTTTCCGGGTAGAGAATACCTAGAAGTGGTTTACCCTTCCTAGAAGCGGTTTACCCTTCCCTTCTTCTGCGAGCACCCTGGGACTGGTCAGCTTGCCCAGGGCCACAGAGGCTGACTCTTAGCACCCTGGGACTGGTCCGCTTGCCCAGGGCCACAGAGGCTGACTCTTCTCCCTGGCGGCATAGTGGGGAAATGAACTCCCAACCTCTGGCTCCATAGATAGATACCTAAATCACTGAATTAGGATCTGAAAATCACTTACCTCCCTTTTGCCATCTGAGATTTATGCAGACATTGATAGCATCCTGACAAATCTGTTCTCACAGCCTTAAGGAATCTAGAAAGTTAAGGGAGAACAAATCAGAGGTTGAAATGCTTCGGATACTCACCCTTTGACTCCTCACTCAGTTAAAGTTGTTTGCCCCTTTCTTGCCTGCTTCTGGCCTTTTTTATATTCCACAGCAACGGGTGAGAAGTCCATGCACCATTAGTACCAAGTTGCTCCCGCCCACTGTTTTTATACAATCATTGCTGCCACATCCCGACTGCCTGAATCAACACCAGCTCCACCTCCAGCCTTCTGGGGAAGTCCCTGCTCATGGCCTACGTGACATCATTCTGCCTTCTCAGCAAGCCAACCCTGCCGCACTCAGGCTCCCAGCTATTGTAGAGGTTTTGTGCACGTGCAATGTAGATTGTGTAGCAAGAACAGCCTATGAAATCACTGGGATCCAAGTTAAGTTAGAACAGCTTGTTTCAAGACTACCCTGCATAATCTGTGGCCAACTGCATAATATCTCATACTTTTTGTGTAATTCATTGTGCCACATTTCCAATTTTGCCTGACTTATTCTGGTTTGGTTAGTCATGAGGAGAGACAAAGAGGTTCCCAGAAACCTGAAGCCCTTTTCTCAGCCATAAACAATTTTATCCGGTTACTCATTTTGGGCTCTGAGGCTTCAGAAGGATTGGCCCACAGATTTTTCAAGCTTACTATTACCACCAGAAGGACAATGAGCTTACTTTTAAAAAAATAAAATGAATCATTGGAAATATTATAAGAAAGCTACTGTGTCCATAAGATCAATGCATGCACAATTTTCATAAAATCAATGCATTCACAACATTCACTGCTCATTCTTGCCTCTTCTTCAGCCACCACCACATGCCAGACTCCTTTCGCATTTCCTTTTTACTGTAGCTCCTTTCATTTTGTAGAGGCATCCATTCTTGGAGATCCTCCGATTTAAGAAAGCTCTCTCTTTTCCCTTTCTGCCAGGCCCTGACTGCAATCAAATCTGCTCCAATGGCCACTGTTGGGGAGAAGCAAAAGGGAGCTGCCAAATATGTGAGTATGAGTAGCAGCAGCTTGAGATCCGGGAGGAGAAATTTGCTGCAGTGTACAACTTTGCCCCTGGCCCAACCTTTGCAGAGTGGGCACTCTGCACTTGAACAATTCCCACGCCCTGTCCTTTTCAAGGATCCCAGCTGGGAAGGACCCTCTCCCCTCTTTTCAATGTCTCTTTTTGCCCCACTGCCAGTGACGAGCACGATCTGTGCCAGCAGCTGTGCGAGGTGCAAGGGCAGACGGCCAACGGATTGCTGCCACGAACAATGTGCCGCAGGTTGCACAGGACCTAAGCACTCTGACTGCCTGGTAAGTGTGGGCCTTTTGGGGGGCAGGCGGGCTGTGACAGGGTGGCTGTTTCTCATTCATCACAAGGGCTACTAGATCTTTGCTGTGAAGATGTTGACTCTGTTTTCCTTGGCAGAGGGTGGAGCCGGGGCAAAACAGGAGTGGCACCACAGTGGAGCCCAGCCAGTGAAGTTTAGGTTACAGTAGAATCTAGGTCACTCTTGGGCAGAGTTGGAGGCACAGCCCTCGAGCTTATGATTTTTCAACCTTTGGCCTGAAAAGACAAGGTGTTGCCACTTAGAGAGGCCTTCTTTTTGTTAAGTCAGTTGTCTGACTAATTGCTCAGAATATTACATTAACCTTTCATTCATTTCTTAAATGGGCAATTTCCCTGTCAGAGGTAGGGTTGGAAATACGTGTGAGTTTGTATGTGTAGAGATACATGTACATTCTTGTAAAGCAGTTATGGTTTATGGAGTTAACATCAAGTCTGTAACATCTATAAAGTAAGTAGAGGATTAACATTAAGTTTTAAAACAATGTAAAATGCACCAGCCAGGATAATTTGTTTAGAGAATGTGGAATGTTTAGTACCAAAGTCTTGAGATAAAGGAGGGCTCAGACCATCCTGACCTTCAACATTCCTTGCACCTGGAGTCCAACTAATTAAAACAACTTAGCTGGTACAGCTAGAGCTAATTAAAAGAAGTTTAATTCTTGGTTGATTTGGGGGCCTTTGGTCAGTGGGGTAATGGGATTTAAGAGGGATTTAGGGAGAACAAAGACACCCTCTATCTTGATTCATCATCATGGACTGAACATCATGACTTAGTGTGTTCATTCTATGCTGTTATGCTACCTGTTATGAAGAACTCTGTGCACATTTGTAAGTATGGCTTAGAGAGTTACTTTTCATTATTTTCTGTGCGAACAGCTTTCTCATGCCTTGAGCTCTGTCAGTTTTGCTTATCTTTTCTGATGATGTTTTTTTGTAATCACTCTTGAAATTATTGGAACTTTTTGCTATGATTTGCTACTTTTTGCTTTTTCATAAAATAATGAATTTTTTACCCAGATGACTGCAAAGGGGTTGAGGGTACTAACGCAAATGAATTTTTACCCAAGTTGTGGTTTGTTCAGACGACTGCAAAGGGGTTGAGGGTACTAACGCAGTGTCTGAGGATACTCAGAAATTTTGAAGCATTTTGGGTTGCTTTAAGTACAGTGGTGCCTCACTAGACAGTTACACCGCATGGACAGTTTTTTTTGCTAGACATTGACTTTTTGCGATCACTATAGTGATTTGCAAAACAGTGATTCCTATGGGGGAATTTCGCTGGACAATGTTTGGTCCCTGCTTCACAAACCACTTTTTGCTAGATGATGATTTTGACAGCTCCCTCCGCGCTCGCAAAACAGGTATTTTCGGGACCTAAGCTTCGCAAGACAGCGATTTAAACAGCTGATTGGCGGTTCGCAAAGCGGCTTTCCTATGGCCGATCTTTGCTAGACAATGACAATTCTTCCCCATTGGAACACATTAAACAAATTTCAATGCATTTCAATGAGGAAATGCTTTTCGCTAGACAATGATTTCACTAAACAGCGATTTCAGTGGAACCGATTATCATTGTCTAGCGAGGCACCACTGTATTGTGCAAGGTTGGTTTGCAATGAGGAAAAGCAACCTGCTTGTGTGTATTTTCCCTGAGCACCCAGGAGTAAGGGACTTAGAGTGTGCTAGGGAAGGCACAGGCCTCAGGAGGCATTTCCCGACCATTAATGTGCTGACTAGAGATGGGCGTATTCACATACGAATACAGATATCCCCACACAGGTGGAGATAACAAGCGTCCAGCCCCATGGGGCCGGATGGTCCACTCACTGATCTGCTGCTGCAGCGGACTCTGCGCTCCTGTCCTGTCACTCCAGATCAGAAGCACAGAGTCCACTGCAGCAGTGGATTGGTGAGTGAACTATTAATGTGCTGACTAGAGATGGGCGTATTCACATACGAATACAGATATCCCCACACAGGTGGAGATAACAAGCGTCCAGCCCCATGGGGCCGGATGGTCCACTCACTGATCTGCTGCTGCAGCGGACTCTGCGCTCCTGTCCTGTCACTCCAGATCAGAAGCACAGAGTCCACTGCAGCAGTGGATTGGTGAGTGAACTGTCCAGCCTCATGGGGCTGGACCCTCGTTATCTCCACCTGTGCGGGGGTATTCCTATTCATATATGAATAGGAATACCCCCATCTCTCATGCTGGCCTCTTGGACATAACCTATCCAGGCAGAGAAGGTAGTGTGACTGAATGGTGAGAGGAGCCCCTCTGTAAATAAACCCCTTACAATACCTGTGCATGTTTTTGTATGTGAGAAGAAGTGCTTGTGAAAGTGGGAACAAAAAAAAATAGCATCTCTGTAGGAAATTTATTGGCAGTAGTAGAAACATTACTTGGATAAGTTATTATTTTCAGACTTCAGCTCCCCAAATCACACTGGTGGAGACTTCTGGGAGAGTTTCAAAAAAGGAACTTTTCCATTCTGCTCCAAGATACATTTGACCAATGCTACATGATGAAACTGACTATATCAGGTGTCAGACAAAGAAATGCAGTTCCCGTGAGAACACAGGATATATATGTGTTGGGAAGCCAAAACCAATCGCAACATTTCCAGGCTGGCGAATTACCTTCAAGGATGTTGTACAAGCTTGTTGTAAACCATGCAAAGCTTGCAAAGACATCATAAGGGGTCTGTCGTCTGAAAGAATTGAAACCCCGGAGCAGTGCAGTAGATCTTGCCCCATAGAAGAAGGGGACACATAGAATGCATATTACAGTTATGCTATTAAAATTACAATCTTATTTGCCAAAATTCATCCCATTTATTTGTTAATATTTTCAGTAGGGTCACAAGCCTTTTGGAGCCCTAGGATGTTTTCCATGTCTAGGATATTTACCTGGAGAGTTGCCCCTTGGATTTTGTGTGCAATCTTTCTGTGACTTGGAAACTTGTTTTTTGGTGTGTGTTTTTTTCTTCCCATTTTTGCTGGGAGATTTTGGGAATTGTAATCCACAAAAGTAACATTCCCAAGCATTGAGTGCTTCTAGTGATGAAGTGGGTTATAACATGACCTTGTTCTGCTCCTCTAGGCCTGCCTGCACTTCAACCACAGTGGGATCTGTGAGCTGCATTGCCCGCTTCTCATCAACTACAACCCAGACACCTATGAGTCCATGATCAATCCAAATGGGCGTTACACTTTTGGAGCAACTTGTGTCACTGAATGCCCTTGTAAGGCTCTCTAATCCTGAAAGGATCGTTTCATGTGCTTGACTTTGACCAATGCCACTTGGCGCTGCCTCAACCATGACAGAAAGCACCATGTTCAGTGGCATCCCTATGCACAGCATGGCATTCCTATGTAGATGATTGCATGGGATGACGGTGCATATAAGAACATATGATGTTTGTAGGCTGGGAAGCCACAACATCTCAAAGATCTGACACATTGAAAGAAACCTTTGTTTGCCAATCAGGGTCTTGAACCAAACTCTGTAAGCCCCATTGTATCATACCAGTTTAACCTGGCTACTAAATACTTATTGTTATTATCAATATTTATTATTATCAATATTATCAATTATTATTATTATTATCAATTATTATCAATATTATAATGGGCTATCAAATTGATTCCTACTTAATCGTGATCATTTGCAGGGTCTTCTAGGGCTCGTGCACTTACCATTCTGTTTCTCATGGGGTGCTCTGGGAGTCTGCAGATTACTCAAGGTTACACAGGCTGGCTTTTCTCCCAGGGAGAAATCGGCAAGAAATCAGTAGCCAGTAAGAAACCAGACTTGCAGCGAGGCACCCAATACACTGAGCTATTAAAACCACAAAATATGGTAGACTTTCCTGTTGATAGACAGTTATCTAACTTGGTATATATAATATATAAAGTGTATATGTATTGTGTGTATACACTTGTTGTGTGTGGGTTAACTGAAATCTGGCTGCTTGTTCCATTGTATACAGTGGTGCCTCACTTAGCGATGTTAATCCATTCCAGGAAAGACATTGCTAAGTGATTTAATTGCTAAGCGATTTTTAAAAGCCCATAGAAATGCATTAAAACGTGTTTAATACATTCCTATGGGCTTAAAAACTGACCTTATGCAAAGATCCTCCATAGGGGCGGCCATTTTTGGTGCCTCTAAAGCGAGGCAAAACAGCGGGCAGCCATTTTGGAACCGACGATCAGCTGTGCGAAAAGGGTCGCTTTGCCATGATCGCTTCCCTGCAGTCATTGCAAAGCGATTTTTCCCCATAGGGCCATCGCTAAGCGATTGCTCTCGTGATGGCCAAAACCCCGTCGCTAAGTGATTTCATCGCTCAACGGAGCGATCGCTAAGCGAGGCACCACTGTATATGTAAAGTTTAGAATGTGTTGGGTCTAGGATCTCATTTGCTTTCCAATTACAGATAATTACTTGGCTGCAGAGGTCGGTTCCTGTACTTTGGTGTGTCCACAGAACAGCCAGGAAGTGAGCGTGGGCACCGTGCAAAAGTGTGAGAAATGCAATCAGCCTTGCCCAGAAGGTAGGAGCCAGGAGTAACTAATTGGTATGGGATTGGAAAGTTTTTTTTTTTTTTAATCTGGTATTTTGTATCAGTTGTGTATGACTGCTAGCTGGATCGCTTAGTGGTTTAGGTATCTGACTGCAGAGCAAGAGGTTGGGAGTTCAATTCCTCATTGTGTCTCCTGGAGAAGAGCCAGCCTCTGTAGTCATAGGCTAGCTGCACAGTCCCAGGGTGACCCCTGAAGAAGGGAATGGTAAATTAGGCAGGCCTCCTTCCTACAGATCTTTAGAAGATTAGCAAAGACAGAACTGTTTAAGGAGGCCTTTGGAAACATTTTAGGCTAATTTTTGAGACCAGTAAGCTATTGTCACTATTGATTATTTTTATTATACTACTGTATATTTTGTTTATTTTGTTACGGTTTATGTAACTTGGTTTGATATATCAGGTCTCAATCTTAGCTTGTTCTTTCCTGTGGTGTCATGTATTTTGATTTTTTTTAGTTGTTGTACGTTTTGCCTAATTATGTAAACTACTCCAAGTAGTATTCTCACTAAGTCAGATAGTCTATAAGCTCTATAAATAAATATAAGCTCCATAAACAAACAAACAAGCAACTTCTATGTATTCCCTACTTAGAAAACCTTTGAAAGGGTCTTCATAAGTCAGAATCGACTTGGTAGCATGCAATTATTGTGTATGATGCCATGATGTTTTGATCTCCTGACATCCAAGGTGCTCATCTGTGTTTGCAGAAATAGCTAAACAGACCTATGGAAGGAATTTATGGGCACTGCAGCAGTTTTTTGAATAACTTGCATTCTTTTCTGTTTTGCCACAAGTACATTCCTTTGGCTTAATCAAAATTTCTTAGCTAAAAATCTATTATATTAGTTACATTTCCTGCAGTGGGCACAAAGTGGAATATGTGGCTCCCCTCTCTTACCTTTAACTTCAGAACAACTTGTGAATCAGGTTGCACCAGAGCAACTGCTACAAGGTCACTAAGTGAGTGTAATGGCTCAGTGGAACCTGAATTTCCTACACAGCTGGCTTCTCTACTTCTGTAGATTGACGCAGACGGGATTTCCCTTACCTCATCCCTTTCTCTTTCTTAGGTTGCTATGGTTTGGGAATGGACTCATTGAGAGGTGTGCGTGCTGTCACTGCTGCTAACATTAACCATTTTGTTGGCTGCACCAAGATCTTCGGCAGCTTAGCCTTTCTACCAGAGACTTTTGCGGGGTGAGTAACTGAGAATGCAGGTACTGTATAAAGGTCAGAATGGCATAGTCATATTTTGTGAAGCATCCTTGTAGCAGCATCCTAAGGACCCTGGTTTTGCTTTCAGAAGGAACAGGTGTGAGAGGGATGGGCATCGTTTTCTTGCCTTAAAGGCAAGCTGCTTTGGTTAGATCTCTCTGTATTTTTTTTAAATAAAACAAGCAGATGGCCAAAACAGTTGGATAAACAGTGCCAGGAACTCATTTTCCTTGTTCTCTGCCCTGCAATCTCTTGAGCTGTCCTGTAAATCTTTTATACTGTTTGCAGAGCTGTTTTTATTGACGTGGGAGCAGGTAATTTCACAGAGGTAAACATTAAGAAGAACTTGATGGTAAGAACTGTTTGGCAATGGAATGGATTGCCTTAGATCTCTATTTTCTTAGAGTTTTGTTTAAAACATAAGTTGGTTTTTTTAATAGCTGGCTGTAGCTGTGCATTCCCACATTGGCAGGAGATTGGACTAGAGGACCCTTGAGGTCCTTCCAGCTGTACAGTTCCAAAATTTATATTGTTGTTATGTGACATCAGGTTACTCCTTGTTTATTTATTTATTTATTTGATTTTATTTTATTTATATCCCGCCCATCTGGTCTGGTCGACCACTCTGGGCAGGATTTACTGTAGGTTTATGGTAACCTTATAAATTGGTGACCTCCAATAGCCCTTCAAGATCTGCTTTGGCTTGCTAAGGATAGGAATTTTTGGAGATCATTGATTGATGGAACTAGAATGGGCATCATATACTAACAATCTCTGTTGCTGGGTAGCTGTTGAAGGATTTTCCTAAAAGTATAAGCTGCATCTTTCTACACAAAGATGAGGTTGAAGAAGGGTGAAAAGGAAGAAGCAGCAGAGAAAAAATAATGATGACATTCAAGATGGCGTTTAAAGCAGAGGAAGTAGTGGGAGCTGAATACTTAGGTTCTTATGGCATAGGAAGGAAATGGCAGCAAGGGGAATTGTGGGGGAGAACAGGAGAACCACTGATAAGAGATGGAGATGGGCTGATGGATCTGTTGTGGCTTTATCGGTTGCACAGAGCTGCCCTAGAGATAGCAAGGTTCAGAATCTAGTGTATATATATATATATGGAGTGGAAGGTAAGTTTTAGGTTGGTGTGCATGTCCTTTCATTTTAGCTCAGTACTGTTTCCTTCCATTTCATCCAGGGATCCTGTCACCAATACTCCACCATTGGACCCTGAACAACTAAAAGTCTTTGAGAACTTGAAAGATCTGACTGGTATGTAAGACATTATTTCTGGTAGCCCTGAAATTACACACAATCCTGTAGGCAAAATCATGTGCCAGGGCTCTCCACTGAGCAGACCTCACTCTGTGCTTTCACAGGCTTCCTCTACATTGAAGCATGGCCAGAGACGCTCTCAGACTTGAGTCCTTTCCAGAACCTTCAAGTGATCCGGGGCCGGGCATTGTACAAGTAAGCCAGCAGTCAAGAATTTGATAAAGGTGCCATCTGTAACCTAGCACAACAGTGAAGAGGCAAAGCTATGGGTCCAGAAGGCTGAATCTAAACTCATCTCTTTCACAGACACACCAGGTGCCCTTGGGAAAGCTCACCTTCTGCCTCGGGTCCCCTTCAGGAAACATCTCAAATCTAATATTCAATAAAAAGAAGAAATCCGGTTTTAAGGTTGTCACACAGAATACAATATTTTTCAACTTTCATACACCTACAGTAATTCCCTATACAGTGGTGCCTATGCGAAAACATCGCTGTACAGATCAAAAAAAGCCATTGGAACGATGTTTAATGCGTTCCAAATTGGCAGAAAACTTCATTGCCATTGTGTACCATCAGTAAATCATATACTGTATCATCTATAAAACATTTTATCTACATTTTCTTTAACAGTTACTGATTTTTGAACATTAATATTCTTCTACCATTTTATACCCATTGTATCCTACAGTCTTTAACCATTTTATTCATTTAGTCCATTTTTCTGTTGAGATTTTCTTTTCTCCTCCTGGATCCTCTTGTTTCTATAGTGTGCTTTCCTTTAGAACTTCTTGCTTGCTCTTCTGCTCTAGTTGAGCTTCTTTCTGCCTCTGATCCCGATGATCCACTTGATTTCTCCTCTTCTCATTTCTCAACTGCTTTTTTCTCCTCTTTTCTGCCCGGCCACTTCTCCTTTGTTTTCATAAAATTTTCTGCCCTTATTTTTGAGTTAATATAATAGTTCTGCTCCTGCTATTCAAAGAGGACACCTTCAGGCACCAACCACTTATACGTAATTGAATTTGTTCTCAAGAGGGGTGTCAACTCTGCATATTGTCTCCTTTTCTGTCTTATTTGCCATGGAATATGTTTCAAGATCTTAATTTCTTTATCTTTTCTATTAGGCTCCTTACCCTGTATATTTCCTAAAACTTTATCTTGAAAGATCTTAATTCTTCGTGCTGTGTCTATATTTTGTTGAACATCTTCTGGGCGCATCTCCTTGGAAGTTCTATTAAAATCTCTAAAATTATTTCCAATAGCCTCCTTGAGTGATGCTGGTTCCTTTAAATCAGCAACTCTAGCTGTTTTACCTCTTCATCTTTGTGTAGAGAAAGCCAAGTCCTTACCTCTTTCTTTGAGATTGCCTACATTCAGACACCAGCAGTGAATTGAGGATTATTAGAGGTGGAGTTAGTTTATGCGAGGAGAATGTGAAAAACATATAATAAAATCAGAAAATAAAATTGCACTGGTGGGAAATCACACGATTGAATCTTTCTAGGTAGTGATTTAAAACATGCTTTAAGTGGTCATAAATTTATCTAAATTAACTCTTGCAACAAAGCAGTTTCTTATTTATGTATATTCACTTTTGTATGCCACATTAATATCAGTTTTCTTTTTTAAAAATTCAGAGTATTTTACAGCAGTTAAATAAAAAGGACGGCTAAAAATAATAACAGTTACAAGTCATAAAACAATTTATTTAGAATAGGTGCTACTGGTAGTGTTAACAGTGAGAAAAATGCCTGCATGAGCAGGCGAGTCTTTAATGGACAGTGGAAACACTCAGACATTAGGGATTCCAGTGTATGGTGACCTTCCCTGTGGTTTTGTCAATGTAAAGTGCTCAGAAATGCTTGATCACTCCTTTTTTTCCTGATGATTCTCTGGGACTATCAGAGAAGCTTGCCCAAGTCTGCAGTGGTGGTAGGGCACGTAATGCCATTGTCCACTTACGCTCTCGGCAATCTTGACTGATCCCTCTCCCAGCAGGTACAATTAGGATATAACCTGCCAATCCCTGGCTCTCCAGGCAGGGGTTCCAACTCACTGGGCTAGCTAGCTAGCTTTTGAGTTCCTTAGTAATGTAATCATTGCCTAGCTCATTGAGGGCATGGATAGACAAGTATGGTAACTGTTTTCGACATGATTTCTTAGCCAATTTTAATTAGCAATACTCTTTCTTTGGCAGTGGAGTGTATTCTCTGACACTGAAGCACCTCAACATCACCTCCTTTGGCTTGCGTTCACTGCAAGAGATCAGCAGCGGAATGGTCCTTATCCACCACAACCCCCACCTTTGCTTCATCCAAAGCATACCCTGGGGAGACATCTTCAGAAACCCCCGTCAGACGCTATTTGAGAATGACAACAGTCCAGAAGCACTGTGTGGTAAGCAGGGTGTACGAAACCTATTTGAGAAAACAATTTTCCTCCTCAGTCTGCAAATTGCTGAGATTCTACCTTTTGTCCTCGTATTTTGGGTGAGTGTGTGTGTGTGTGTGCAGGTGAAATTGGAGCAGTGTAGGGTAAGCATATGAAAATGCTCCCACCCCATGAGAAACAAGGGCCTCCATATCATATATGCGACACTGACTTAATGCATCATTAACTGCCATAGACAGTTCCTGCTGTGACTCAAGCAAAGGGGAATGTGAATGGAGAGAGCTTGTTGCATTTCCTGCTGTAATGTTTTGCTGCCATAAGCAGGGTTGGTTTGTTATGGAAGGAAGAGTCATTTTCATAGTGGTGAAAATTAAATTAGCAGTGCCATCTAAGAATGTACAGAATGAAAGAGATGGAACCTCTGTTTTAGTTGAGGAATCATAGATGGAGTTAGCAGCTGTCAGACTCTGGTATGAAGAAGTTCAGGATTTTGCCTTCTTCCTGAGAAAAGCAAAGTGGCTCCACTATAAGAAATGTGATCCTTGGTAGATGGTCCTTGGAGTTATAAAGCAGGCTGACTGTAGAAAAGGGAAAAAAGGAGGAAATGATAGACTGTATAACTAGGCTAAAATGATAGCTGAACAGTTGATTCCTGAAAAGAAATACAGTGGTGCCTCGCATAGCGATCGCTCCGTTGAGCGACGAAATTGCTTAGCGATGGAGTTTTTGCGATCGCAAAAGCGATCGCTTTGCAATGGTCCCTATGGGTTTTTTTCGCTTTGCGATGATCACGGGGAAGCGATCAGGGCAAAGCGACCCTTTTTTAAACAGCTGATCGGCGGTTTCAAAATGGCCACTGGGAAAACAAAATGGCGGCCCGCTGTTTTTCCTCATTTAAGTGGCAGCGAAAATGGCGGCGCTATGGAGGAGTCTCGCTTAAAGGTGACGTTTTAAGCCCATAGGAACGCATTAATCGCATTTTAATGCGTTTCTATGGGCTTTTAAATTTTGCTTAGCGATGTTTTCACTTAGCAACGTTTTTTCCAGAATGGATTAACGTCGCTAAGCGAGGCACCACTGTACAGTGAAAGAAAGGATAATCGGGGTTTGACAAATAATATACCAGCAATTGGGTAGATTTGATGGTGATGGGACAGATTTAATACAAGTGTCTGTGGCTACTTTCTATTTGATGCCCATGGTTTGAAGACAGCATGGCTCATTTTGAGAAGAACATGCAATGATGAGATAAAACCTATTGAGGATGTTATTGCCAGAGCAAGCTCCTCAAAGATAATTCCTTCTGGAAGCCAAGCTCCTCAGGGACTTCTCCTGTGTCCAGAAAGAGGCAGTAAGCAGCTTCAGTAGATGTGGTGGTTGCAGCACCAAAAAAATATATGGAGCAGACACAGTGCCTTGTGAAGGATTTTAAAAACGCATCATATGCCTGATTTACCTCAGTGGTACTGAAATGGTTCTAGACAGCACTGCTAGATTTAGGGTGTGGTTACACTGATAAAATAAATCAGGAGCTGGGTCGGGGTTTTTGGAGTTGTTTTAACAAAATCACATGGTAGTCATGTGGTTTTTGGGTCAGTGTGTGCATCCTCTTGGAACAACTTTTAATCTGGGTGTAAGGCGTGTGGTTTATCTGTCGAGGTTGCTACACAGGCTTTAAAATTACAGTATTATAAAATTGGCCCAAGGGGCTTCTGCTTTCCTGTGTTTTGTCCTCTCAAGGCTATATATTCCCGGAGTGAAATGTATGAATAAAAAAACTAAAACCATAGCTATGGGGACACGTTCTGGTTGCTGGCACATCATCCTGAAACTGCTTTTGAGTTTCTTGTACTTTGCCCTCATGCTGGCTGCCTCTCACAGCCACTCATCACCAGTGACAACTCACTTCCTGTGTTGAGGTGATATTGGTATCAGGGACGCAAGCCGTGGTCTTCTGCCGTAGTGCAATTTTTAATATGTTCACTTTTTTAAACTCAAACTTTCCTATTGCTACATCAGTGCTACAGATGAAATATATACAGATTAGAATTAAAGGTTACCCTGCAGCCCCAAACCCCCGAACCAAAACTTGATAAACCCCACAGGCCCAATTCACTCTGACGCAGGTGAACACACATGCAAAAACAATTCAAAATAAATCACATTCATAATTAAATTAAATTATCCCCTAGTGGGTGTTTCCAAAAAAGGGCTTTGCAAGCAAAAAAATATGCTTCATGGTCCCAAAAAAAGTGTGTTTAGCTGTACATCATGTAAATAGATATTTTTAAATTGATTTCAAATGTGCTAAACCCAACACAAACTCAGGAGTACCATGCATACGCCATGCCTTTGTTCACTGATCCTGGTATTTCTGTGTCCATTCAGTACACATGCAGAGAGGCGAGTTTGTGTACATACAGTTTTCATGCTATATAATGTGTATATGTACAAATCCATATATATCTACCAGGAAGTACCAGCAGCTAGATTTCCAAGCAGGGTATGGTGCTCAAGCTGCAGTGGTAGGATGCTCTGACAACAGGTCACCAGGAATCTAAAATTGAGTTTTTCAAATTCAATGTGAAATGTTTTAGCTCCAGATGTAGCTGTCTTCCCAACACTTGAGCTCAAAGTTCCCCTTTCCCTCTTCATTGCAGTAGAGCATCATTCACCCATCCAACTTCTCCAAGGACCCCGGCAACCAAGCTGGATGTGATGGGATGAGCTATATGGTTTGTCCATGTGTCTACCCCATTCACTTATAATGCAGGCAATTCAACAGAGTTTAATTTTTTACTTCAAATGGGTGAATGGTTGTGAAGAATCAAACCTTCCATCACTTCAGGCAGTTTTGTGTGGAATCAAGCTCACTTCTAATATTGGAATCAGCCTGAAGTGGCAAAACTGGAAGGGACAGGAGAAAGTTCAGCTATCTTCATTCACATGCTACTTTTCATGGTAGAATTAGGGGGCATCACACACCTTCAAAGCTGGCTGGATAACTCACTGGTTTAGATATCTGGCTTTGGAACCAAAGGTTGGGAGTTCAATTCCTCACTGTGCCACCTGTATGTATAGCCACCCTGTGTGGTCTTGGGCAAGCTGTACAGTCCCAGGGCGCCCCCAGAAGAAGGGAAGAGTAAACCACTTCTGAGTGCTGTCTGCCTGGAAAACCCTGAAAAAAGTCACCGTAGGTCAGAACTGACTTGATGGCAGATGATTATTATTACACATCCTGAAGGTGTGAACAAGGTGGGCATGGAAACAAGAAAGGCAGTTAATTTTGAGGAGGGAGAGAACTTCGTTCGCCTTATATTTTTAAGTGATCTGACTTAAACTGCTGTGCCTAGATGAATAGATGATGTAGAACGCTGTTCGTTTTTGCTATGCAATTCTCTGTTCAAAATTGTGTACACCAATGCATGCATTGTGAAAAATTGTGCGTAAGACTGTTGGTGTACATGGCTTTAACAAAATTGCAAACTGAGGGGGAGCAGAGTCGAACACATGTGTGACTGAACATGCTGAAAATTAATACATGATAGGAAGAGACTGGGGGGGGGTCTGTCCTTCACTGCCTCAGTTTTTATCAGATACATTTTACAGCCTCCTGCTCAATGTTTGGCACTGTTTTGATCCATTTTTCCATATTAGAAGTGAAGGTTGTTACTCAATATTGACTTTGCCAGTTTCAAGGGAAATCTCCATTGTTGACCTCCTGCCCCCTGGGTTTGCTGATAGCACGTTAAGCGCTTATGCATCTTCTCTCCACAGAAAGTCAAGGCCAGGTTTGCTTCCCCCTCTGCAACAAGGGGCATTGCTGGGGATCCGGAGCTACTCAGTGCATGTCCTGCAATGGTTTTCTGCGTGGGAAGAAATGTGTTGAGACCTGCAACCTTCTGGATGGGTATGTGGCAGTCAACAAGGTGGAATTTGGGTGAGGAGGAAATCCCTGGCAGGTAGAAGTAATTCTGCAGGCATTTAGTGGAAAAGGGAGTACCCAGTGACTAGAAACTGTTTGAATCTTTTCTCTCTTTCAAAAATGAAAGATAATATTTGGATGTTGGATCCTGGGCCATTTATCGTATTATATGCTTTCATTATCCATCGAAGAAGCATAGAAATAATATACGAATCAAATGCAGATGTAGAAATAACCTATAAATATTTTTTTAAATATAATCTTTAAAAAATAGTATATCAAGGGCACCTAAAAAATAAAATAGAATACTTCAGGGTGAAGTTTTTCTGATGATAATTGCACCAGCTGATTGCCCTGGACTGTAGATAGCACAAATCCATGGAGTTCTAGGAATTAAAGGAAAACTGGGAGGAGAGGAAGAGAGGTTAACTGAACTTTGACTTGACTTTTCCATGTCTTTCCATGCAGAGACATGCGGGAATATGTCAATGGAACACGATGCTTTCCATGCCATCCAGAGTGCATGCCCCAAAATGGAACAGAGTCTTGTAATGGATCGGTAGGTGCACGGGTGGCGGGAGGGCCAAGCTGAGGCATAACATCTTATCGTTGGAAGCTGCGTTTTGTACATCTATAAATGTTGTGCATCTTTGGCTGCCACTTGCTCATAGTTGAAGAGACACTTGCATTCCCTGCCTTCCTTCCAGACCAACCTTTAAAATCTAATGAAATCATTGACCTGAAGCAAAATCAAGTGAGCAAGGAGCTGCATCAGGAGAAAGAACTTGTCTGTTGATTGCAAACATTGGCATGGTTGTAGAGCATCAGTTTTCAAACTTTCTGCCACTGCAGATATGTCTGGCAACATATCCTTGAGCATTTGCGATGAAATTCTTGCATATTGCAGCCATTTCCAAAAGAATAGCTGTGTGAAAGTGACAAAAACCTCAAGGAGTTCAGATTTCTTAACCCATGAGCTATAATCCACCTCATATGGCAGAGGATGCTGATTCATGGTCTAGGATGTGCAAACTGTTTTGTTTGGGACACTGTGCCTTGTTGGAACAGAAAATATCATCAAGGCTAATGTCAGTACATGGAACTATTGGGTATCTGCTTTTGAAAGGCCTCTTGAATATCTCAACCTTGCCTCTCCCTCTCATTGTTTTCTCCTGGTGCTTTGATCAGTGCTGGGCAGCTGAGCTTCCAACCCACTATTTACATTTTTCCATGATGCCCCTGAGCGGTGATGAAGCATTGTGGGGAATGAAGATAGCAGTGGCCAGGCCCAATGGCCTGATGCTAATCTGAACATAGCAGATGGCTGCCTTTGCCAAGGAAACTTTGGGGGACATGCCACAGGATGGCTTCTGCTACTCCTGGAAACATAGATCTGGAAGATACTGACTTGGTTGCAGGTCAGCATCATCCCCTCTCACAGAATCATGGGATAATTCAATTGGAAGGGACCTGTAAAGCCATTGAGTCCAACTGTCTGTTCAGTACAGGAATGCAAATCAAAGCATATCTGACAGATGTTTGTCCAGTTTTCTCTAACATGGGACTGTTCACCACCTCCCGAGGCAGTTGGTTTCATTGTTGTACTGCTCTAACAGTTAAAAAGTTTTGCCTGATATTCAGCCTAAAGCTGGCTTCCTGTAACTTGAGCCCATTGTTGTGCGTCCTGCACTCTGGGATGATTGAGAATAGATTCTGCCCCTCCTCAGTATGACTACCTTTCAAATATCTGAAAAGTGCTATCATATCTCCTCAGTCTTATTTTCTCCAGGCTAACCATGCCCAGTTCTTTCAATCTTTTATTCATATCCAGAGCAAGTACATGTGGTTCCATAAACAGCAGTGGTTTTTTTGGGGGGGGAGGGTGGCCATGAAAATCATTTTTGGCCCTTGTTTTGCTAGGAGGGGGGATGTTGTGATAGGGCCACGGGCTACAAAAGCAGCCTAGAAGGAACAGCGTATGGCCTCAGACACACACTTTGCCCCCCTTTGTTATATCACTTGGAAATGAATAAATATTCTGTTTTTCTCAATGAGGACTGGGAGCTTGTATAGTGCCATGAACCCTAAGAGCTGAAATTCTAATATTACCAGCAGTTATACTGCATATTGGGTTCTGCCTTTTTCCTACAACTATGAGCATTTGGAATGTTGCTGAGTTTTTGTTTTAAACAAATACCAGCACACGCAAAGAATTAACATTGGTTCCCAGGTTGTTTTCTGACCATGCAGAATACAGGGAAATAAGCTTTCCTTGTAGTCTGTATAAGTTTTGCGACACACAACTGCTTATCTGGCATTGGAGAACATGCACATCTTCCTACACAATTCATGCCAGAACATAGGACAGGCCTCCTGGTGCTGGGCTGTGTTTACTGGGGATTATGAAGGTTATAACCTGATGCATTTGGGAGGGCTTTGGGTTAGAGGATGTTGATGGCGGATCCATGAGGCTGCTTCATAGCTGTAGTGTGCCCTCCTTTTTAGAGACTGTTGTATATGTGCAAAGAGTTTAGTTGCTGTAAGTCAGAGATGGACAACTGAATGGTTTAGGTATTTGGCTGCGGTGCTAGAGGTTGGGAGTGGGATTCTCCCTTGTGCCTCCTTGACGGGGGCTCGACTTGATGATTCAGAGGGTCCCTTCCAGCTTTGCAGTTCCCAGATTCTAAAATGGGCAAAATGCATCTTTTCAGATGTTGCAGTTCCCACCAAACCTAGCCAGCGTAGCCAGCAGGGAAGGATATGAAGGAAAAGATTACATTACCAGTTGAAAACAGTGGGTTGCCTTTATTTATGGTGCGGTGGTTAGCATGTTGGTGCAGGAGGTGGGAGACCTGGGTTCAAATCTCAGTTCAGCCATGAAACTTGCTGGGTGATCTTGGGCCAGTCACATTCTCTCCACCAAACCTGTCTCAAGGGATTCTGGTAAGGATAAAGTGGGAAGCAGGCCTTACGGTCATTGAAAATAAAAGGGGAGCACGATTATAACAAATAAAATTGTAAGTGCCTACATTCTTCTTCGTGGTCTCTGTGAATGCACACAAATGGGTTAAACTGTGCCTGCGCAGGACACTTCAAAATATTCTAGAGCTTAAATAACTGACCGATAGAATGTTCCCCCATGGTGTGCATGCCCCGCCTACCTGTTACCTCAATTCCTGTTTGCCACTGCTGCAGTTGGACTCTTTTGCGATGCCTAGAACTGTTTTCAATTCTTTCATGTCTTCTGGTTTTGATCCTGGCCTGGTTTCTTGACTACGTTTTTCTGATCTCTGGAGTATTTTGACTTGGACTGACCTGATTTACAATTCTTGCGCTTTGGATTGGCTACTATTGTTGTGTCTGGTTTTTGACCTTTGGACTGGTTACCTTACCGTTTGCGATTTGGATGACGGACTTTGTCTTGATACTTTGGTCTTTTGCCTTCTCGGCTTTTGATCCTGGACTGCAATCGTTAATGTTCCCCATGAGTTCTTTCCTCTTTTTCCTTTCCCCCACCTCCTTCCCCTGTTCCCTCCAAATTTTATGACCTTGTCAGGCCCGTTCAAACGCTGTACGTCATGTGCTGACAAGATTCCCTTCATGGACGGCCACGACTGCTGTTTATTCTGCTTGGGGGAGAGACACCAGCCCCACTTCTGTCAGGAGTGTAAAAAATTAACCAAACCCACCCTTAAGCTCCGCTTACATGTCTTTGAGAGAAATCGTTAACACCCTTGAGCTCGGCAGCCATGGAACCTACTGTGACTTTTGCTCCTCCCACTCCTTGTCCCGTACCTGCTGCCTCGCCAGCTCCTGCTACCCCTTCTTCAAGAGCTTCTTCGAAGGTGTCCAAGTTGAAGATGGATCATTTCTGCCATCACTTTAGCCCAGTGGTCCTCAACCTTGGACCTCCAGATGTTCTTGGACTTCAACTCCCAGAAATCCTAGCCAGCAGAGGTGGTGGTGAAGACTTCTGGGAGTTGTAGTCCAAGAACATCTGGAGGCCCAAGGTTGGGGACCACTGCTTTAGCCTATGAGCTGGTTGGCAAGGCTCCACCAGATGTATTGAAGGCACATTCCACTAGAACTGTGGCTACCTCTACTGCCTGGCTTCGTGGCATTGACGTCTCTGACATTTGTCAATCAGCTACTTGGTCTACACCATTGACCTTCGTGACCCATTACAGACTGGATGTCAGAGCCAAAAAGGAAGCAAGTTTTGGAAGGGCTGTGCTGACTTTAGTTTTACCGTGACGAACCTCCTTCCGGTAAGTGAGCTTGCTAGTCACCCATTCATGTGCATTCACAGAGACCACGAAGAAGAAAGAGAGGTTACTTACCTGTAACTGTGGTTCTTTGAGTGGTACTCTGTGATTCCACATGTCCCGCCCAGCCTCCCCGCTATCCATCACAAGTGGTTTAGAGCTTTGTAATTTTCAGAGCTATGACAGCGGCAGATGTTCGGAATTGAGGTACCATGGGTGGGCGGGGCATGTGCACCACAGGGAAATGTTCCATTGGTCAGTTATTTAAGCTCTAGAATATTCCGAAGAGTCCTGCGCAGGCACAGTTTAACCCATTTGTGTGGGTTCACAGAGTGCCACTCGAACCATGGTTACACGTAAGTAACCTCTCTATATTAAGAATATAGGGGGAGCCCTGCCAGATCAGACAAAAGGCCTCTCTCGTCCAGCAGTTCTGTCCATACAGTGGCCAAGCGGTTGTTAAAGGGAAACCTAGCATAACGTGAGTGCAACTTTACCTTGTTTCTCATTCCCTGGCAACTGATATATGCTGTATCTGATAAGGGAGGAGATATATAGCTGTCCTGCCTAGCAGTCATTGCTATCCCAGAGCCACCACAAATTATTCCTCTCCCCCCTCTTTAAAGGCATCCAGGTTGGCAGCTATCAGCCATAAAATCTGAGTTATGCAACCTTTTGCTTCATAGGTGATGAAATGTGTGACAACAGCAACACTGGGCTCCTCAGGCAACTTTGCAACGGTCCCAGACTTAATGACTCCAGATTCCTAGATTCCTATCGAGTGCCTGACTTGTAGGTTATGTCCGTCTATGGCCATGTCGGCAGTGTGTCAACATGCATGGCAAAATCAGAAGCTGATAGCTTGTACAGGTCTGTGTAGACCAGGTGAAACAAACAGGTTCCCTCCCTGTGCATCTGAGGTAAAGATCTTTTTTTGTTCTCCCCCTTCTCCATCTCCTCTCCAATTTCTAGGATCCAGACCAGTGTGTGGCATGTGCCCATTACAAAGATGGTGTCTCCTGTGTGGAGCGGTGTCCCAGTGGCGTAAAGGTTGATGGCTCTTTTGTCCCCATCTGGAAGTATCCCGATGAAGAAGGGATCTGTCAGTTCTGCCCCATCAACTGTACCCACTCGTGAGTTTGCAACAGAGTTGAGGCTGTGGGCTGTGGGAGGAATCAGTCCTGATGAGGCTGCGGTTGGTTTGGCATAGTGGTGATGGGAATTGCGAGTGAAAAACTGCAGAGAAGAGCCTCTCCTTTCCCCATTAGAAGCTAAAAGTGAGCCTCCCCTTTCTAACTGATTGGCATTTCTCTCTCCCTCTGTCGTGCTACTCAACCACAATTACTATGATTATTTTTAAAATGATACTGTATTCATACTCATTATCTGTCACTTTTGGAACAGAAAAGTGAAGTTTCAATAATGGATTATGCTCCAACCTTCAACATCTAAGACTAAATGTGCTGATTGTGTAATACAGCTGACGTTTCTCTTTCCAGGTGTGCCCTACGGGATGAACTTGGCTGCCCTGTGGATCAGAAACCTGGGTACGGAGTCCAACTATTTTATGTTTATATCTCCCCATGGAATTCAGATTCCATAAAATTACAATCATGATGGTGTACGTAAGGCATATGGTGTCTGTGGTGAGGAACAGTGATGGTGGATAATCTAGAAATTGTGGACTTCTACAAGCCATTGGACATTTTTTTCTTTCTTATCCCAATAACCTTGACTACATGATCAGAGACTAACTGCCATAACTGTATGACTTGGAAAAATCATAGTTTTATATATTTATTAAAAAATGAAATATATTTCTTCACTCCGTGGCTGTATCAAGGATTTTTCAGGGCTGATGCTTAAACATTTTGATGTGTTAAAGGTGATGGAGAAATAATAGATAACTGCAAATTAAATGAGTCACAGGAAAGGTACAGTTGGTGAAATAATGTTTAGTAGTTACAGTAGTACTTTACTCAAGTCCTCATAATCCTTTTATTTCCATTGTTTCAGTAATCTTTACAATGACCCTGTAAAGCAGAACAGCTTTACTGCATAGAGAGGCTTGCCAGAGCCTGTTTGGTAAAATCAAGGTTACTCTGAGATGTGAGCTGTGGATCTAACAATTCAATTGCTTTATCGTAACTAGATTCCGTGGCTGAAATCCTGTTTGTGTAGGTCTGCACATGTAAGGCTGATTATGTCATCCGCCACTGACATTAATCTTTAATTAAAAGTCCCGTGCCCCTAAGGATCCTTTTCATTTTAGGGAAGCTGGGGCTGGGACAGGTGGTGGTGATTTTCAGACATTAAAGGCTCCCACACCCATGATCCTAAGGACCCCAAAGGCTTCTCAAGCTCAAAGAGGATTCCAAGGGAGCCTTGGAACATGGGTGGTAGAGGTAGGAAACTTAACTAAAGATTAAAATTCATGGCTGATGACCATCATCAGCCTTACATGGGCAGATCAGTGCAAACAGGATTCCGCACACTGAATCAACTGATAAATAAATCAGCACTTACTTAAGTCTCATTGCTTCAGCAAATCTATTCTGGCTGGGGCATTGGTTCCCCTCTAACAGAGGCTGGACACCATTGTCATGGCTACTTTGACCTTGGATGTAGTAGCTCTAAATAATGATGTTATTTTATATCCAGACCAGTCTTCCAGCTTTTTTAGTTGGTGTGTTCTCCTTTCCTGCACTTCTTTTCCCATTTATTTTACCTTGAATAATCAGGTGGAACAATCTGTACTTCATGTTTCTTATTAGTTGGGACTTGCCATTTGATTTAGGCCCCTGGGTTTCAGTTCATAGCCTGTGCCTTTTATCACTATCCTACACCAGAGAGTCTGGAAGGCAAGCTTTTTTCAGAAAAGGCTGAGCAAAATGGGGTTAATTTCTGCAGAGGGGGCTAGTTGTAGTTTTCAGGCATTTAAAAGGCTGTACAGATCCGTATACTTGTGCACACTTAAGATGAAATTTGAACAAGCCGTGATGGTACAGAAGGCATTAGTGGAGAGAAGATATAAAGGAATGAAGAAATTGGATTTTTGTGGGTTCTGATGGGAACTACTCTGGACTAATAATCAGAACATAAGTACTGTATCCTTTGGATTCTGCCCTTTTGTGAATTATGTTACAGTGTTGAGGAACTGCTCTGGACTAATAATCAGAACATAAGTATCCTTTGGATTTTGCCCTTTTGTGAATTATGTTACAGTGTTGTTGCTTAAAAGGCACACTGAAAATGGATGTAATTTTTAGAATTACATTCATTTTGGAATATGTATTTTTGAGATAAAATAAGTTCATATAAATGTGTTTTTCATGAGACAACACATATCAGAAATTCATAGAATGTGGGAAATTGCACTAGCCAAGATACTGACACAAGATCTAAGATTATAAAGAGGTGTAGAAAAGGAGGGTATTTTTGTTAGCATTTGCTGTAACTTTATTGTACTTGCAAATAATGGCAATATTGCCAGTTTATCTTTGTGTTAATGGAAATTACATAAATCTTGGCAGCAAATTGCTGCTCATTATTAAGGTGCCAGTTATGTTCCTGAGGGCACGCCCAATTCCTCAACTGTGTGTGCCCAGGAATGCAAGCAGCATCTAGTTAATGATCAGTCATGTGCTGCCAAGACTTCCCTGGCGCAAGTGCAAATCACCAATAGGATCCTGGTGCTTAGTTCTTCTCAGCAGAGCCTACCTGCAGAGTCGGAGAAAAATTGGAGCACACCAAGAGAAATGAACAAGGAGCTCCATAGTTGTTAACTCCCCATTGAGCAAATGTTCTGGTTGATGCTTTTTCTATGCACCCAGCACTCCTTAATGCTGTTCCTTTAAATTGATTGGCCACTATTTTTGCTTTGTGTTGTTGCTGTATATCTGTACGTTCAATAATGTTTTTTAAAAACATAATTTTTGTGTAGATTTTTAAAAATTGCAGACTAATGCAGTAACAGAACAAAACACATCTATCGATAAACGTGTCCAAAATTCAAACGCAGGAGTAGGCAATACTTTTATAGACCACTAAAGAAACCATACAATCTGCTAGCTTTCATGAATCAGTGCTCACTTTATCAGGCATGTTTTTCTTAGATGTGGGTTTGGAAAGATGCAGGCTTTATTGGAGTGTGGCTTTAGAGCAGGGACGTGGTGGCGCTGCGGGCTAAACCGCAGAAGCCTGTGCTGCAGGGTCAGAAGACCAAGCAGTCGTAAGATCAAATCCACATGACGGAGTGAGCTCCCGTCGCTTGTCCCAGCTCCCGCCAACCTAGCGGTTCGAAAGCATGTAAATGCAAGTAGATAAATAGGTACCACCTCGGTGGGAAGGTAACAGAAACCATACAATCTGCTAGCTTCCATGAATCAGTGCCCACTTTATCAGGCATGGACCAGTGTCTTGTTGCTAGTGTAGAGAATTTAGAGTCCCAAAAGTTCGTGGCAGATGGATTTTGTCCGGTGTTTTTCTTAGATGTGAGTTTGGAAAGATGCAGGCTTTATTGAAGGTGTGGTTTTAGAGTTACAGCCAAAGAAGCTGTTGATTGGCTATCACTCCCCAGCTCCTCAGACAAAGCCTAGAAATTATGCATATACCATTCGCTTTAGAGTTACAGCCAAAGAAGCTGTTGATTGGCTATCACTCCCCAGCTCCTCAGACAAAGCCTAGAAATTATGCATATACCATTCCACATGTCCAAAATTGACACACATGGGATAAGTTTCAAGAAAAGGCTGAGAAGGAAAATGCATTTGTCCTGAGATATATGTCTGGAGTGGAGATGGTCCCAGTTCATTTACCACTGCAACAGGTGTTCAGTGTTTTGGTGCCCCGCCCCTCTGGTGGGCACCCACTCAAAAGCAGCATCTGGAAGAGGCAGGACAAGGAAGCCAAGATGTTGCTACCAAATGGGTGCCTGCTGGAATGGTCGGGGTGCCAAACCGCCAGACACCTGTTGTGGCAGTAAATGAAGCAAGATGATGATTCACTGAACCAGCAGTTTGTGCCCATCTCTAGACTGGAGATTTATGGAACCTCTGTGGCATACATGATTATTTTTGTACAGTGCCCTCAGCATGCAAAAGAACCCATCTACAGGTAGAAGCAGAGAGGAGCCTGGAGCAGCAAAGAAGCTGGATTGCTAAAGAGGATAGGATGGTGACTCGTTTGCTTTTGCAGTCCCTTCATGCTGTGAGACAAAAAGGGAAGCAATGAGTTATCATTTTTGTCTGTAAATTAGGTGACAGCATCATTCCTAAAAAGGTGCCAGGGATTGACATATCATGTTAGTCCCTACTAGAGTAGAGCAGTAAAAGTAAATAGGACACAAGTAGCATACATAAAATGGTTTCAGTGAGTCATTGATTTGAGTGAGTCTATTGTAGTTGAGACTGTCATTTGATGGCGTTTCCCAAATATCACAAGTGACAGATCTGGGGAACATTTTCCTGCTACATCTCTGTGACTGCTGATTGGCTTCAACCTCTGAAGAAGTAAAGCCCTGTGAGTTGCCCTCCATTGCAGTCAGAGGAAGCCCCTGCTTGAAGCTACTGCTTAGCTTTTCTTTTTCTCTCTCTCTCTCTCACTCTCTCCTCTTGCAGCCAGGCAACGTCTCTCTGTGACTGCTGATTGGCTTCAACCTCTGAAGAGGTAAAGCCCTGTGAGTTGCCCTCCACGGCAGGCAGAGGAAGCCCCTGCTTGAAGCTACAGTGCTGCTTACCTTTTCTTTTTTCTCTCTCTCTCTCACTCTCTCCTCTTGCAGCCAGGCAACGTCGATTATTGCCGGCGTTGTGGGTGCTGCGCTCGCCCTGGTCCTGCTGCTCATCATCATCATTTGTATCAATCGACGGAAGCAGCAAGAGAGAAAACATACAATGCGCCGTCTTCTGCAGGAGACTGAGGTATGCTTGGCAGCCATAGCCCAAAATCCACAAAAGAGCTACTGCCTCTGGTTTGGGGAAGTAGAGAATGAACAAAGCTTAGGGAAGTTAATTTTTAGACCACATTTCCCAGAATGTTCTCACTCATTTGGCCACTGGCCATCCTGACCAGAAGATACTGAGTGCTGTGGTCTAGAAATAAAATTTTCTAAATTTTTATCCCCAAATATTATTGAATTGAAGATGAGCATATTTTAAGTGTTAATAACATATAAGAAATAGTAAGGTGTGGTTTCCCTTGTAAAGGGATATTCCATTCAGCTACCTGAAGCCCCAGTATGAATCCTATGTGAAAAAAGAGCAGGGGAAGATTTACATTTAATTTATCCTCCACTTTGGACATTCCCTGGATTTGCATATGTTTTAAGTGTTAATAACATATAAGAAATAGTAAGGTGTGGTTTCCCTTGTAAAGGGATATTCCATTCAGCTACCTGAAGCCCCAGTATGAATCCTATGTGAAAAAAGAGCAGGGGAAGATTTACATTTAATTTATCCTCCACTTTGGACATTCCCTGTAGCATCTGGCTAGGCACCGTTGGAAATAAAATGCTGAATTAGAAGCTGTTTAAATAGCCCAAAAGGATCTGTGTCCTAAACCAGGGATCCCCAACCCCCGGTCTGCAGCTGGTGCCAGTCCGTGACCTTGGCAGGACCGGACCATTTTTTTTTTTTTGGACTTATATACTTTAAATAGCCCAAAAGGATCTGTGTCCTAAACCAGGGATCCCCAACCCCCGGTCTGTGGCTGGTGCCAGTCAGTGACCTTGGCAGGATCAGACCATGGAGACAGATCTCCCACCCCCCGGCACACACTCCTCCCATGCCCGCCCACATGCTTGCATGGGTGCCCCGCCCATCCATGCACACACTCCTCCCATGGCGCCCTGCCCCACACACAGACCCCGCCCCCCAACCGGCTCCCATGCCCGCCCACACGCTTGCATGATTGCCCTGCCCACCCGTGAGTGCACCCCACCCCCACACACAGACCCCGCCCCCCAACCGGTCCGCGGTTGGGGACCACTGTCCTAAACGATCCCTGCAAAAGCATCCAGGATGATGTCCACTTTATTTGTCTTTATGTCACCTAAATTGTTTTAGTACCTCAACTGCATGCACAACTAACCAGTGACAAACCATGATCTCTCGGTTTCTCTCTTGTTCTCGGTACCTCTTCCTTGCCTTCTGTGACCCTGCCAGTTGGTGGAGCCACTAACGCCCAGCGGAGCCCTGCCGAACCAGGCTCAAATGCGCATTCTGAAGGAGACAGAATTGAAAAAAGTCAAGGTTTTAGGATCAGGGGCTTTTGGGACCGTGTACAAGGTGAGGAGAAGGGGAGCTAGTTACTTTGCAGATAGCTGGGGGAGGCCTTGATTAAGAACTATTTGAGGATCACCCGTTGAACATTTTAAAAGCCTTCCATAGACTTTGTCTGAGCAACAATTATGTTCTTCATCACTCAGGGTCCAAATATATTATCTTGGGCAAACAGTATAGTTCCAGGAGCTTATCATATCTTCCCATCTAATGTGTGATTTTTTTTTTTGGCCTGATTGAAGAGCCACTGCTGCTCAGAGATGCTGTTGGATGAACGTCTCTACCACCAACACGCCCCACATGGAGTGTGTTGCAGCCATGCTTACAATCTGTAATTCGTACTCCCTTGCAGTATAATGTGCTGCACTTGGCCTGCAAAGAAGGGACTTTCTGAGCCATTGTAGATGTTCCACATGTCATGTAGATCACCATCAACATTGTCAGTGCTTCCCCAACCCAACCTTCCCCAGCTTGGTGCCCTACAACAATTTCCATCCTCTGTAGCGAACCATGGATCAGGAGGATCAAAGTTGCATTTGGATGCATTTGGAGGGTTCCCAAGTAGGAGGCTGTTCTTAGTCATAGTGAATCTGGGTTCATAGATTTGTTTTGATGAAGCAGAGAGGTGGATCCTTGTGACTGTGTTTATCAACCAGTTTGTGGGCCTGCTAGTGTTTTCATAGTATTTATGCCATCTCCCTGCACCCACCCCCTGCTTTTGTCAGAGAAAGGGCTGCAGGATTTCTTCTCCTCACCATGTTCCTCCCAACTGTCCTTGCAGGGTGTTTGGATTCCCGATGGCGAGAATGTGAAGATTCCAGTGGCCATCAAAGTCCTACGGGAAAACACGTCACCCAAAGCCAACAAGGAGATACTGGATGTGAGTGGGGAAAACGTGATCATCTCTCTTGAGTGTGTTTCCTTCAGCAGAGAGAAGACTTTCAGCCCCACCCCCTGATTTCTCTTTCAAGGAGCCTCCCCTAATATCTTCCTTCCAACCCCTTCCTTCAGGAGGCATATGTCATGGCGGGTGTCGGCAGCCCTTACGTCTCACGGCTCCTGGGAATCTGTTTGACCTCCACAGTGCAGCTGGTGACTCAGCTCATGCCATATGGCTGCCTGTTGGACTATGTGCGGGAGAACAAGGACCGCATCGGATCCCAGGATCTCCTCAACTGGTGTGTGCAGATCGCAAAGGTAGGTGGAGCTGCAAGGCAGGGGTGGGATAGCATGCCAGTACTCTACTCAGTATGTATCTTGCATTGCAACTATTTTCAAGCTTAAGAGCTACCTTTGCTGTATACACTTGGTATACTGTATGTACCTGGTCTCTTCTCCTCTTCAGTTTCACCTGCTGTGTCTGCTTCCATCTTTCGTCTTGTATAATCAGACAACAAAAGCAAGCCCAAACAGTTCTGGGTAGCCTCATAGTGCCTCTGGTGTGACTTCTTGGTACTTCAAGGTGTTAAGGTTCCGTGGTTGAGAAAGGCCCACACTAACCCCTGAGTGACACTGCCCTGACTGTCCCAGTGTGGGTGAAGCCCAGAAAGGCCACATGTGCTGATGACAGGGGAAAATCTTTCTGCCTGGTACCCCTCCCAACAGGGACATGGGGGCGCTGTGGGCTAAGCCGCAGAAGCCTGTGCTGCAGGTTCAGAAGACCAGCAGTCGTAAGATCGAATCCATGCGACGGAGTGAGCGCCCGTCGCTTGTCCCAGCTCCTCGCCAGCCTAGTGGTTCGAAAGCATGCAAATGCAAGTAGATAAATAGGGACCACCTCAGTGGGAAGGTAACAGCGTTCCATGTCTAATTCGCACTGGCCATGTGACCATGGAAGATTGTCCTCTCACAAAATGCTGGCTCTATGGCTTGGAAACGGGGACGAGCACCGCCCCCTAGAGTCGAACACAACTGGACAAAAATTGTCAATGGGAACCTTTACCTTTACCTTTTACCCTCCCAACACCTTAGTCCACTCTGACTAAATTGTATTTCCAGGGAATTGCCAGAAATCCACACGGTTAAGGCACTTTGACTTATTGCAAGGTGGGAATACCAAGGTACCCACAAAACATACAGGGTCCTGTTAGATGGTCAAGGCAAGGCCTGGTATTGAGTATCAACAACCCTGTTACTCTGAAAGAACCAAACAAAAATATTGAGACAAATGTCTTCAGTGTCTCTTCTAAATTTCAAGGTATGTTTAGCAAGATTGTCACAAAAAAATTGTGAAAAAGCAATTTCAATTATAGCCCTTATTATTTAGACAAACAGACTCCCTGAAAGCTTGAGTGTGCAAGATCTGAACAGAGCTGTTGAGGACAGGACATTTTGGAGATTGCTCATTCATAGGGTCACCATATACATGGGCTATTCGTATCTTTGGGAATACAAATACGAATAGCGGCAGCACAGGTACCGAAGAGGCCTATTCTCTAATCCCAGAACTAGCCCATCCACTCACCGATCGCCACACAGTGCTGAGGTTCTTTGTCGTCATTGCCCCAATCCAGGAAGAAGCCCAGCTGGTGTTTCCCTGCCTTCCCACACAGCCGACCACTCCAGCAAGGAGCTGGGAAAGGGGGGGTCTCCGTGCTCAGCTGATAAGTGGTCGGCTGTGCATGGAGACGGGGAAGTGCAGACTGGGCTCCTTCCTGGATTGGCATGATTACAAAGGACTCCAGCACTGTATGAGAACCGGTGAGTGGACCATCTGGTTCTGGAGGGAGGGAATGGGCCTCTGTGGCACCTGTGGTACCACTATTCATATGCTCAGGGATACAAATAGCCCGTGTCTAGTCACCATTGATTGGATATGACTTGGCGGCACATAACACGCATCACCCGTTTCTGCAGCTCAAGTTACATCCTTGTTATTTCACTGCTGACCTATTAAAGAACTCAAGAAATATCCATCAACTTAGTGTGAAGGAAACCAATCTATGTTTGTCTCTTCTCTTTTTCAGGGGATGAGCTACCTTGAAGATGTCCGTCTAGTCCACCGAGACTTGGCTGCCCGCAATGTTCTGGTGAAGAGTCCAAATCATGTGAAGATCACAGATTTTGGTTTAGCCCGGTTGTTGGACATTGATGAGACGGAATACCACGCTGATGGAGGGAAGGTAGGACCAAAGAATGATGGAACAGATAAACCCCCAATGAGTCTCTTTTTAAAATTACAAATATAGGGTGATACCCTTCATCGACCATTAAGAATATAAAACCAACCAGAAACCAAAAACAAATAGTGATGAAGATAAAGCATAATTTTCAAGGCTGTGCATCACGTTCTTGTGGGTAGTTCCAACTTACATACTGTTATTAATGTCCCAAATCCACAGGGCTGTTCATGTAGAAGCCAGGTTTGTTTCTTCGACTGTGATAGTGCAGTATTAGGATGCTTATAATTTAAGTGGTCAACTGTTTATCAGTATTGTTTGGAGGAGGCTTTAGTTAGAGTACACAGAGAAGGGCTTCCTGCTTTTTTAAATATGGAGACAGTGTTGCGTTGAGGATCATTCTGTTATCTTTACCTCAGCCTATCGCTCACATTTTGATCCAGCACATGTTAGGCTTATTACCTCAGTGAGAACAAGGTTTAAACCACAAACATAACGATATTGAAATACAGATGCTGAAATAAGCTACTGCTTGGTACCAGTTGACAGAAAGATAGCTTGCTACCACCCTGGGTCGTGATTTTGCTCTTGTCTGCCTTACGTAGGTACCTATCAAGTGGATGGCCCTGGAGTCGATTTTGCGCAGGCGATTCACCCACCAAAGTGATGTGTGGAGCTATGGTATGTAATCTGTCTTGCTATTCTTTTGCTCATTGGTTTGCATTATGAAAACCTGCCTATGCTTAACAGGGCTTTCTCCCCACTTCTTTCTCTACACACCCTCTTTCCACAGGTGTCACCGTCTGGGAGCTGATGACTTTTGGTGCCAAGCCATACGATGGTATCCCAGCCCGAGAGATCCCTGACCTTCTGGAGAAAGGAGAAAGGTTGCCCCAGCCTCCCATTTGTACCATTGATGTCTACATGATCATGGTGAAATGTAAGGGACCATTGCTGGTTGATGAGTCTTCCATGAAAGGGGGAAGGGTTGCAACAAAATATGGACCCACTTTGGGAAGTAACGTGGTTGCTCTAGAGTTGCTGTCTTCAGCCTCTCAGCAACTCTGTGAAACTGAGCAAGAGGAGAAGAACCATAGGCTGATCTATGTCTTGGTCCAGGGGTATTGTGACATAACAAGGACTTCATCCTAATCTTCTCATTTCCAGAAGTTGTAACTTGTTCGTTTGTTTATTTGCTGGTGAGGTAGCTTTCTGTCTCTGGAAATAAACCTGACAACTTTTGCCTACTGCTTGATTTTAGTGCACTTGTTGTTGTTTAAAAGTTGTAAACCTATGATGAAAAGCAGCCCATAAATATCCTAAATAAATTCATAATTTTACTAGTATATGTTTGGAGCTGTGTGCATATTGCAGGTCCATAAAAGTGTAAAAAAAGAGAGAGTAGAATTTGAGGTTTTGCACAGGGTGCAGCTCTCCAAGATTCTGTGCTTTCATTAAAAAAAAGCAATTAGTTGGTTCTTAGGGTAGCAAATATATTCTCCAAAATTCACCAGAGGGCTCCAACTTACATCTTGGTTTCGAACTGCCTGCTTTACAACCACTCCCTGCTAGCAATCCAAAGCTCACTTTTAATAAAAAGTGTTCTGGAAGCATGACATGATGTGTGTTATGTGTCATGGAATGAAATATTTTTAATTTCCAGCTAGCTGACCTTCTGGAAGTGGCTTGTTTTTGCTTCCTGTGCTGTATCGCTTTGCAAGAAAACTAGTCCTCTTTCTCGTAGGGAGAGTTTATTTGATCTGAGGCTCTGGAGGGCATGCTTGTCTTGTGTTTGCCACACAGGTTGGATGATTGACTCAGAATGCCGGCCCAAGTTCCGAGAACTGGTCGCAGAGTTCACACGTATGGCCAGGGATCCACAGCGTTTTGTGGTCATCCAGGTGAGATAACTGCCCCTCTTCTCATACAGAAGCTTGTGACATGTGCTACAGAGGGTTTCATCCAATAGCTGCACTGCTCAAACAAAAGCAGCAAAGCTAAGGAGATAGCCAGGACTATAAATCATCTTGCTAGAGCAGACTAAGTCCATTTAGGGCAGTAGTCAGGCTCAAACAGTGGGCAGTTCAAGGGCTACGATCAGGACACAGCAACAGGAGCCCTTCATTGCTGCTGCTGTTGTCATTTCTGGCAACTGCTATTACATCTACTGCTAGAACAGGTGGGGAGTGTGCAGTGCTCCAAATGTTGTTTAGACTGCAAATCCCACACACCCCTTGCTGTTCAGTTCTCTGGCTAGGGATGATGTGAGTTGCAGTCCAACAATAGCTGCATAGGCTTGAGTTGCAAGACCTGAAGAAATGACACTCAGAAATCAACAACTGTGGTGATGATGGCCCACGTAGGCTGCTACAGTTACGTAAAGAATTTTGAATGTCTGCAGGTTGCTTGACTTTTTTTTTAAAAGCTGGATCTCAGTGGACTGATTTTTACCCCATGCTGAGAACTGAATGACTAAACAAACGAGAACTGAATTACTCTAGAGGAGGGAAGAAATTTTACTCCCAGTACAGACTGGCTAATAGCTTTGTATATGTGTGTATAGTGGTGTTGTGTATCTTGGCTCATTTGCTTGAGTCTTCTGGAGCCACCTGCTTTCCAGGTCCCTTCGTACAGTGCCTGTCCTTGTTGCCGTGGTACAAACAGCAACTAGGCAGTAACATCTGAGCAGTGTTGCAGTTTTTGTGATATCCATGGTCATTTCAGTAAGAACTATCATTTGGCATGATTCTTAAATTACTAAGGAAGTGATTCATAGCTATCTTTGATAGAAGCTGAGTGTTCATGTCACTTTGTGTGTGCAAAAGTTCCTACACAGAAGGTGCCACTATGCAGAAATGAGAAAGAAAAACTGTATTATGTACTTACAGGCTTGTTCTGTTTGTATGTATTACCTATGGCGGGACATTTCAGTTGATTGCCTTCTCTGTGCTCTGAAAGCCCTCAGCTAAGGTGTTGCATATGCTGGTCTATCCTGTAAGCATCGAGCTATGCAGAAATGCCTTCCCCATAGGAACTGTGTGACATGTGATAGCTCTTGAAGAGACTGCTCAGTGTTTTTCTTACGTGCATAACCTGCCCTGCGACTAGCCCTGTCAAAGCAAAGCAGTCACCTCAGGCAAGTGGTAATGGATAGACACCACCAAGGTGTCTGAGGGGAGAAACTGGGCACCACATCCCCTGCTCTGCACCCTGAAACTATCAATGCTCCCTTCAGGTGTAGTGGAGGAGGCTGTCCCACATGCACAAGAAAGAGTCAGCAGCCAGTTCAGTTCGCTTTTGTACAAGACCCCCACACCTCCTCGCCAAAACTATGATTCTGTTTGCTTACTTTGAATATAAAAAGTGACATATTAAAGCAAATGTATTCAAATTCACCAAGTTCCTAAAACTACGAATCAACGAGTCCCCAAACCAAATCTCACCTTTTGCAGGGAAAGTATTAGGTGGCCTGAGATAAGCCACTATCCTTAGCTTTAGCCAATTCATCTCCATTAGGATGATACAAATACTGTCGTACCTTACAACGCCGTTGTAAGAATTTTTGCGAGGCTATATTTACTATTTATGTATTTTTTAAAAATTAACCCATCTTCCTCTTTAAAAATGACGCAAGGAAGTTTATATCATTAAAAGGCAATATTTGAAGATAAAAAGAGCCAGCATAAAAATACTAAAACAGATCAAAGAAATACTGCACTAAATAATGGTAAACAAATGTAACACCAAAATACATTCAAGTAAAATTCAACTCAGGCAGCCATTCATCTGGGAAAGCTTGCCTGAAGGGAAAGGTCTTTGCCTACTTGCAGAAGAACAGCAAAGATGGGGCCAACCTGTCCTCCTGTACGTGGAGTACTTTAAGTACTTTACCTATTATTATTGTCTTTTTGACAGAATGATGACAACATGGGTTTGGTCAGCCCTATAGACAGCACATTCTACCGCACTTTGCTAGAGGAGGAAGAGATGCAAGATTTGGTGGATGCAGAAGAGTACCTTGTCCCTCATCAGGGATTTTTCAGTGGTGAGGTATCAGCCGACTATCGATCTAGGATTCCTTCAACAAGGGTAAGAATGTGGTGCAATATGGCAATACGATAAAGAACTCCAGTGTGTATTTTGATCATGCTAAACTTCTATTGTGGCATGCCAAACTTTTCTTTATGGTATACATATTTAAAAAACTCTAGTTTGAAAATTGACAAGGAATTTGCAAGGGAAGGAGGGAGATGCATGTCTGAAGGGAGTTCACACATACTGTATTATTTGATTGTCTCCCCCTCATTGGTATTCTGTGCAAAAACAGCTGAAGAGTGCCAGTTCTTATGCTAATTACAGCTCTCTTGTGATTCATCTTTCTTTTTAAAATATCTACAAAATTCCTAACCTCTTCCTCTTAGTGGCTAAACCTGTTGCTGGACTGCAGCATGGTTCCTAATAATTGCAAACACAGACTCTTAAGCTAGCATTATGATCAGAATATTGACTCTAGTTCTTATGGGTCACAGGATAAATATAATTAACAACCACCACCATCATCTGGAGCTGGAAGGGACCCTATGGTTCATTGAGTCTAGCCTCTGTCAAGGAGGCACAGCGGGGAATCGAACCCCCAACTCTGGCTCCACAGCCAGATGCATAAAACACTGAGCTGCCCTGCAGTCTAAAACTTACTTACTAAAGACACCCTTTTTTCTTTCTTTTCAGAGTGCTACTGAGATACAGACCGAGGGAGAGGAGCCAGAAGAATCAGCTCAATACCCCTATTTGGGTTCTTCTCTCTCAGAACAAGCAGGAAATGCTGTCCCTAACTTCCTGGATGGAGACTATGTAGCAAACAAGGTTGTGCAGGACCCAGAGGAGGAGCAGGGAACACTTCAGCGATACATCGAAGATCCCACCGGTCCCTCAAGTAACGAACACGAGAATTTTGATGTCAGGAGCTACAATTCACCTTTACCCTCTGGTGTGGTTCCAGGTAAATTATTAACTAGATCCTGACAAGACAAAATGTTGATCTTGATTTCAACATCCTGATGTTTTGGTTTCTAGAGCAAGTTTGAGTGTGGGTTTTGAAAGGGGCTCATGATTATAGAATTCTTAAAGTTAAGATGGTTTTTAGTAGGGGAAGAAGGGGAGGTGATGTTAGTTACTGCTACCACCTGGCCTTTGCCATCCCATCAGTTTTGGCTTTTCCTTGCCTCTACAGAGTACGTGAATCAGCCAGAAAAGAACCTTTCCCCCAGCAAAAACCTTCGGTCACCAGGATCCACACTGGAAAAGCCAAAGGGCCACTTGGGCAAGAATGGGCTCATCAAGGAACCAAAGAACGTCTTCCACGGCAGCTTCACCAACGTGGTGGAAAACCCCGAGTATCTCACGCCGTGCAACCTCCCTGTAGCTGCCCCTTTGCCCCAAGCCTTTGACAATCTCTATTACTGGAACCAGGAGACTCCCAAGAGGAACCCAGCTGAGTTCTTTGCCACTTCCGTGACTTCTGCCGCCACCCCTAATGGCTTCACCACAACCCCAGCTGCAGAGAACCCGGAGTACCTTGGTTTGGCAGAATCAGTCACATGTTCCAAGGAGTTTGCATGAAGGCCAATCCTCATGACCAATGAGACACATTTTTACTATGAAGGCAGCTCAGAACACGAACTAGTGAACCATTAAATGCCTGTAAGATGAACAGAATGTGCGGAGACATAAGAGTCCTCTAGAGGCCAAGCAGGCCCCTTTCTCTTCCTCTTAGCAGCTGGGGTAATGTGAGAGAGAGCAAAAACCCAATCTGGATCTGCAGGCTGATTTGCAGCTCTTTGGAATGACTTTTTCCCCCCACTCCCAGTTGTTTCACTGGAACAGCTATATCCTGCCCCTCCCACCCACTCTACACACTGTAATTTATACAGCTGAAATTAAGAACACTTGAGATAGGAGCGGACCTTTGCATGGAAACTGATCTTCATTCAGTTGCACTAGTACTTAAAACAGATTCCTGGGCTCAGAATCCTTAATTTTAATTTCTTTTGCATCAGGTTGGAGTTGGCAGATATCAGGGTTAAAGTGAAAAACAAAAGTTAGTCCTTCAGATCTGAAGTCTGCCCACTCCTGGGTTTAGGGACTTGGTGGCAACCCAACTTTAAAAAACAGAGGGCTCCTTTACCTCTTGTTAACCGGTATCTTTCTTTTTTTTGAATTACAAGGCAGGAGGATTAGACCACAGATTGGTTTAATGAGCTAAGAAGCAGAATTATGATACTTCAAAATAGATAAATATGAGGCTCTTCATATTTGAGTTTTGACTGACAGAAGGTGTGAAGAATGACATTGTGTGTTTTTAAAAGAGGGCAACGTGCAGCTAACTCTTGGAAACTGTGGTATTTTTATTGTTTATGTTTAATGATATTAGTTTTTTTAAAAAGGAATGCTCTTCCTGTGTCTTGGGATCAGAAAAGACTATGTTCTTATAATGAAATGATCTGTGGTGATGTTTAAGGAAAATATGTTGATAGAATCTAGAAAAAAGAAAATATTTTGTTCAGTGTCAGAAGTCTCTGTACTGTTTTTTTTTCTCTGTGAACCATCTCATGAAGCTTCTAGAAGATGATGGACTATAGACAGCTCTGGATGAGTCACCTTTTTCATAGCATGGGCAGCTTCATAATCTGTGTTGTTGGGACATTTTAATTCAGAGAGTTTTGCTTTAAAAGAATAATACTTTTTAGTGCCACATTTTATGTCCCAATTGTTGGTGTTTGGAGTAAAAAGGAGCTAATGTTCCCCCTTTTTTCTTTTTTGGAGGGTGGGGTAGAAAGATAGATTGCATAAACTGCACAACAGAAACAAAGCACCATCTTTCTCTGGATTCCTGGAATATTTATTATGCTGAAGTAGCTGATGGATGTAAGGAGGACAGAAAAAGAACGAAGGAGGGTGATAGCAGAGCCCCTGTTTAGCTTTGAGAGAGCCATGTTCATTTAAAGAAAAGCTGTGTAGCCTTTGTGATGTCAAACCTGTGCTTGAAAGTGTG